AGAGAGAAGGATGATGGAAAATAATCTACCTCCTTAGGTTGATCCTAGAGGTATTTATAGGATACTTAAATACAGTTATTCTAGGAATACAATTTCATTTAATTGGTGTTTGGGGTATTCTTATTCTAGTAGGATTTATCTTAGCCAACTTTGATAAGACTATCTCTAGAATGTCTCCACGTGTCTTGATTTTCATGGGACTTGATTTAGGGTATAACAATCACACTTCTCAGTCACAGCAATTGTATAGGCAAGCTTTGAAAAGGGAAAAAAAAATACAATGTTTAACATGTCAATTCAACAGTAAAGAACGAAATAAGATAATATAAGAAGAATGGTGATGGAGAAAACGGAGAAAACCTGGGGCAATATAACCATAGGTGCCAGCAAGTACAGTATAATTGGATGAATCAAGATCCAAAAATCTAGAATTTCCAAAATCAGCAACAAAAGCCTCCTGTTTCGAGTTCAATAAAATGTTGTTGCTTGATATGTCTCGATGAATGATGGGTGGGATGCAATCATGGTGAAGGTAAGACAAAGCATGTGCTATGTTTTTTATGACATTCACTCTTAGGTTCCAATCCAGATCCACAGCTTCATCATCATTTCTAAGCACACAAAACAAGCTTCCTCTTTCCATGTATTCATAGATCAAAAACATGCATCTCCTATGCAGGCAAAATCCATGAAGCTTCACAATGTTTCTATGTCGTATTTCTGTCAACATTTTAACCTCATTTCTAAAACTCTTATCAAAGGCTTGCTCCTCTGCTTCCCTTCGATGTAGTTTCTTTAAAGCAACTACTTGGCCACTTGGCAATCGTGCTCTATAAATACTACCATACCCACCAGTGCCAATGCAATATTTGATGTCAAAATCCTCAGTTGCTTCAATGACATCTTCGTATGCAATCCTTCCATCAAAGTTCCATATTGAGAATATGTCCCCATTTTTTGTTGGACTGGCATATGCTTCCCTACTTTTAGCCCTATGTATTCTTCTAGAAAGCAACAACAAAGCCAAAAGTACCAAGAAAACAGAAATGGTGGTGGGAAGAATAATTTTAACACGCCTCAACCCTCTGTTCCTAAGATGGTGATCATATAATCCCTTATTTCCTATGAAAGACCTTTTTGGAAAATGAAGTAATTCAATTGGGATTTGGCCTGAGAGGTTATTGTAACTGAGATCTAGGGCCTCCAAAAATATTAAATTCCCAAGTTGACGAGGTATCTCTCCACTGATGAAATTGTGACTAATATCAATTAGTGAGAGAAGATAGAGATTGCCTATTTGAATGGGAATGCTCCCACTTAAGGAGTTGTTGCTCAATGACAACTCCATTAAATGCCAGCAATTTCCAAGTTGAGTTGAAATGGGTCCACTCAATCTATTTTGGGAGAGGTATAAATAATGCAAAGAACATGGATCCGCAAATTGGCTAGGTATATGACCTTCTAAAAGATTTGAATCAAGATACAAGTAGTTCAGATTGGACGAATCAAGCAAAGGAGAAGGGATCAAACCTGTGAAACATATCCTTGTTACCACATTTCAGAAGGATTTGACTAATTATTTTGTTCTTTCTTTGAAGCATCTATGAACAAATTATTTAGATATTCTAGATTGGTTAAAGGAATTGAAATAAATGAGTGAAAATCAAAGCAAACAAATTACCCAAGGTTGGTCCCCTAAACCTATAACACAAATTGAATTCAAATAAAGAAGTGTGCTAAAAGATCATTATACCTGTAAGATGATTGTGGCTGAGATCCAAGACCTTCAAGTTTAGTAAATTTCCTAGTTGCGAAGGTATATTTCCACTAATGGAGTTGTAGCCAATATCAATTCTTGAAAGCATAATGAGACTGCCTAATTCAAGGGGAATGCTTCCACTTAAAATGTTGTTGCTCAATGACAATTCCTTTAAATTTGAGCAATACCCAAGCTGAATAGGGATAGGTCCATTCAATCTGTTTTGTGAGAGGTTCAAATATTGCAAAGATGTCAAATGCTCAATATCTCCTGGTATATGACCTTCTAAAATATTTGAATCAAGATACAAGTGGGTCAGATTGTTTAGACGAAGTAGCGTAGGAGTGATTGAACCTGTAAAACACATCCTTGTCACTAGGAATTTTGGAAGGATTTGACTAATTATTTTGTTCTTACTCTGAAGCAGTCTATGAACAAATTATTTTAACTAATTATTGGTTAAAGAAAATAAAATAAATGAGTGAAAATCAAAGCAAACAAATTATCCAAGGTTGTTCCCCTAGAGGTATATCACAAATTGAATTCAAATAAAGAAGAGTGCTAAAGGATCGTTGTCCCTGTAAGACTATTGTGGCTGAGATCCAAGGTCAATAGATTTGTTAAGTTGCCAAGCTCAAAAAGTATCTCTCCACTGATGAAGTTGTGGTCAACATAGAATTTCAAGAGCATAGAAAGACAACCAATTTGAAAGGGGATGGAACCAATCAACCTAGTTTGCTCAAGGTTCAAGAATTTCAAGGATTTTGCTTTCCCAATATCTCCTGGGATACTACCTAGAAGATTTGAATCAAGATACAAGTAGGAGACTAGTTAGATGAAGCAGAGTGGGAGGGATTGAACCTGTGAAACACATCCTTGTTACTAGGAATTTGAGAAGGATTTGACTAATTATTTTGTTCTTACTCTGAAGCAATCAATGAACAAATTATTTTGACTAATTATTGGTAAAACAAAATAAAACAAATGAGAGAAAATCAAAGCAAACAAATTATCCAAAGTTGCTCAATTGAAAACAAATGAAGAAGTGTGCTAAAAGCTCGTCATACCTGTAAGACTATTGTGGCTGAGATTCAAGGTTTGTAAATTCTTTAAATTCCCAAGTTGGAAGGGTATCCCTCCATTGATGAAGTTGCAGTCAACATGGAACTCCGAGAGCATAGAAAGGTGACCAATTTGGAAGGGGATGAGACCACTCAATCTGTTCTGCCCAAAGTTCAAGAATTTCAAGGATTTTGCTTTCCCAATTTCTCCTGGTATTGAACCTTCTAAATAATTCGAACCAAGATCCAG